AAAGATCATCTAGTTCCAACCCCCTGCCACATGCAGGGACACCTTCCACTAGACCAGGTTGCCCAAAGCCTCATCCAACCTGGCCTTGGACACCTCCAGGGATGGGGCATCCACAAGTTCTCTGGGCAATCCATTCCAGTGCCTCACCACCCTCAGAGGGAAGAATTTCTTCCTTAGATCTAATTGAAATCTACCCACTTACAGTTTAAAGACATTACCTCTTGTCCTATCTCTACATGCCCTTGTAAAAAGTCCCTCTCCAGCTTTCCTGTAGGCCCTCTTTAAGTACTGGAAGGCTGCTAGAAGGTCTCCCCAGAGCCTTCTCTCCTCTAGGCTGGACAGCCCCAACTCTCTCAGCCTGTCTTCGTAGGAGAGGTACTCAAGCCCTCGGATCATCTTCATAACCCTCCTCTGGACTTGCTCCGACATCCCCATGTCCTTCTTATGCTGGGGGCCCAGTGCTCAACACAGTGCTGCAGGTGGGGTCTCATGAGAGGAGCGCAGGGGAGGAGAATCCCTTCCCTCGACCCGCTGGTCACACTTCTTTTGATGCAGCCCAGGATACAGCTGGCTTTCTGGGCTGCAAGCGCACCTTGCTGGCTCATGTTGGGCTACTCTTGTCCTCTTGGTGAAGGACAGTGTGAAAGAAGTTTGTGAATAATGAAGTACTGCAAGAAATATCAGCCTTTGCTTCATCTCATTTTGAAAATATCAGGAAAATTATATATGGCTTCCAAAGGCAATGACTATTTTAGAAAACTTTTCCCGTGCCACCACAGAAGCAGCAGATTCTGCTGTTGAAATGCCATAGGGACTGCAATTGCAGCTGAAAGGAAGCATTCTCTATGAATTCGTTGTGTTGTCATCTTGAAATGCTTTTCTGACTTTCAAGTGCTTGTTTATTCACCAAAAAGAAAAACATTTTATAGTATTTGGGGAGAGGAGAACAGTCATTGTTACGTAACTGATATACTTTTGTGATGATTGGTAATCTGTGTTACAGGCTGTCATGATCTTAGTGGTCAATTCAAATTGTTGCTGCTAAAGCCTTAATACCAATCATTCACATATTGTCTGTCCCTATAATAACATATAGCAAAACCTGTTTTTATATTTTCATAGAAAATCTCTGAAGAAAAGTTAGTATCAGAACACCAATGACTCAATCTCTATATAATGAAGCATATACAATAATTAATCTTTTATTTTTACAGTGAACTTATCCTATCCAGCATTGACATTGATGCAAATGGAGATTGGGAGTGTCTAGTCAACAATTCCTATGGAAATAGCACAAAACAAGTAGAAATTGTGGTACTTGAAACAGCTGCACCCTACTGCCCTGCAGAAAGAGTTATTAACAACAAGGGAGATTTCAGGTATGATTTTCTGGTTTTGGATTGTGTTTCATATATATTAATATAGATAAGGACTCTATTCATGCTTACATGATACTTCAGTGTCAGTTACGAAGATGTCACTTATTTTACTTGTCATTTTTATGTAATATACTAGGAAGGAGGAGCACTGTGTGATTTTTATGGGAAATGGCAGCTAGTGCTTCAAGAGCAGCAGTGGTTTGTGAAAGTCAGAGAATCTTTCTTCTAATTCCTCAGTGTGAGAGTATGGAAAATTTCAAAAGATGTAGGCTCTTTACAGCTAAATGAGAGAGGGTTCAAAATTTCTCTTGGTCTGTTCTAAATTATAGAATATGATAACACTGCATTAAAGCATTAAAATATTAAATCTTCAGTACTTTTTTCACCTGTTCTGGTTCTGCTGGTTTTGTTCAGCTGAGATTAGAGGTGACAAATAACATAAAATAATTAGTAAAATATTTCACTGAAGAGAATCAAAATAGCAGTAAAACTACTTAGTAAAACAAATAGATCATTTGAGGTGAGCTTAAGGACATACACAGTTCCACTGGTATATCACATGATTAGAAAACACATCCGTCCTCCTATCTGAATCTTAGAGTCTGCACAATTTTGTTACTAAATGTAATTTTTGTTTCATCTTTACTTTTATCTACATATGCTGATGGGTTGTTTTTCTTTCTAATCCCCATAAATGAAGAAAAAGTTAGGGATTCTGTGGAATTTGGTATTGTTTTCAGTTAGATCTAAAATACTTCAGTGATATGCATAAAGCTCTTACGCAAAATATAATTACCTGCTTGACAATAACATTGATGTATGATGGCATTCCCATTGAGAAATCAAGAAGGTAATTTGTTACCAAGTGAATTATGATAAGAATTCAGCTTGAATAGTTAATGAAAGGAAAAGCAGACGAGAAGATTCTCTTTAATGCGAGAGCTTTCTTCAAATACTTCTGACCTGAAAGCCTCTGTTCGTTTTTAAGTTACCTTTAAAACTTTTTCAAAGGCCTTTTACTACTATTTCTTGTGTTTGAATAAAAATAAAAGAATGAATTAGAAGTGGAGAAACCGACTCACGTAATCTGTTTTCTTTTTACTACGAGGCTATTTTATTACATATTACACTCAGTCTCAGTGAGTATACCACATTTGCTGAACATATATACATATTTAATTCATATATAGATTAAAATCCGTTAGAGATCTTTGAAAATCTATTATAGATTTTCTTTGTCATCACAAAAACTGCCATTGCGTTTTCTCATATTCGACGTGCTTAAATGTATTTTAATGAGATCTTTTAAAATATGTATGCTTTCTATCAGATAACACATACTGAATCTTTTAGATGACAACTTCGTGAAGTTCATGTTCTTGCCATAAAATGACATCCTTCTCCTCATAAATAAATATATATAAATTCTACAGACTGCGCAAACTAACACCAGGGGCATTTTTGTCGTTTTATATAAATCAAAAGAACAGGAGTGCACATTTCTCTCCCTATTGATCATCTTTCTAGAAATCCATATAAATTTATTTTTAAAATGTATATCAAAAGGATGCTGAGTCCGTAGGTTCTTCTGGCATTTGAGGGAATGAATTTAAAATTATAGAGAATGCATCAGGCTCAAACTCAGCATTAGCACTTGAAACTATTCCAAAGGTTTATCCTCAGAGATGCAGCTATCGCACCAGTAATTTTTCTTACAAAGGTCTTTGAAGTTTTGGTATCAGAGCGAGTATGTAAGTAGAAAGAGTTGAACCACAAAAGCAAAGCTAGAAAGAACAGTTCTTTTATTGAGAAGAAAAGGGAAAAAAAGCATCAACTGTTAAGGAAGTGTGGTTCTTTCAGTTGACCAGCCTAGGTGGCATTTATAATTGCACGACTGCAGTGAGAATTAGGCACTGTGAGTCGGAATGAACTGGCCTTAGGTACCAAGAGTTTTTCCCTGTGGTGGCCGTATTTGGCTCATTTTTTGTTTTTCAGCTCTCTGTAAGATCATTCTGAAATGTAAATGGTAATGTTATGTCTATCATTCCTATTCATAAAGGCCAGATTCTGCTAGCTGTGCTAATACTAGTTTCAGAATTCTCTCTTTAGTTTTACTTTTGAGGTAAGTTGCTACGCAGTGTGGCCCAATTGCATGAATGCAAATGTTTTACTAAAAATAATATTTCAGCCCAGAGTCAAAAGGACAATATACTACTGCACATTTTTTTTTGAAGCTCCTGTCATGGTTTATTTTGCATCAACTGTTTTTACATCACAAAATGAATTATTCTAGTGATTGTTAGCTATGACATATAAAAATATTTTTCTTCTTACGTTTTCTTTGTTTGAAACAAGGAAAACTTACAAAGCCCATGTAACAATGTCCAAGTGGACCTGCATTGTATAACTAAAAGGAGCTAATATGAATATTTCGTTCATGGTCAAGGTGTGGCTTCACTATCAGGCAGAATATTTTTCTGATTGATTGGGTTCAGTCACTACATCAGTGCAATTAAAGAACCATATCCTTTCCAGACATGCTGACTCGCTGATGATACACTTCTGTTTTTTTGATTTCTCCCAATTAGCTGATCTTGCTATGTCCATACTAGCCTGGAAATGATGAAGGATTTGGTACCAAAAGAAATAGATCCCCGTTGTGGTGTTCTAGAGAATGCAGCAGATACACAGAAAAGGACTATTGTATGATAGATCCATGAGCGAAATAGAAGAATTCTGGCTGCTCTTGAATTATAGTTTGTTCTCAAATACTTTTTGGAATCACACTACATAAATCATGTATATCTAAATAGATAATTTTTGAGGACTAGATCCTTCCTCCTCCATGAGACATAATATCTGCTGAAATTTTGTTTATTGGTTTCTGATACATTCAGGGATTCTTGCTTTTCAGGGCTTTGTTGCAGACAGAGCTTTGTGTCAAAATGGAAAGCAAAGGCAGATTTTGAGTGTTTACCTTTCACAGCACTTAGTAATAGGGTTTTGGGTTTTTTAGCTTTATGCACTTACTGCTCTGCCTTGTGCACTCTACAAAGACGAATTAAGGGGAAATGTCATCCATATACTTTCCTTAAAACCAAACACTTTCATGGAATTAATGTAGAATTAATGTGTGACCCACTAGACTCATACATTTTCCAAGGAAACAAAGTAATTCATTATAGAACATGATGAGGTAATGTTTAAAATAGCCTTTTATTTCTCATATGGTCTATATGTTGTTGCTACATTGTAATTTGCCTTTAAATAGGAAGTTTCACGTTGTAATTTTTTATTACCATGTTGTTCATAGATGGCCCAAAACTTTGGCTGGGATAACTGCTTACCATCCATGTCTCCAGTATTCGTTTAACTCCATTGCCTTTCACAATGGCGCAGGAGAGTCTAAGGCGTGGCGTAAATGTAATCGAACTGGACGTTGGGATGAAGAAAACTATTCTGAATGTCCTTATTCACAAGAAGTAACTCAAGTTCTTCATGCTTTTAGTCAGGTAATGTTATGAAATCCAGGGCTTCCCTTCTATAGTACTGATTTTGTTGAATAGCTTGCAAGAAATGCCTGTTCAGCCACAAGTTTGGGATAGCTGGACTTTTAACAAACTGTTTTACTTGAAAGACAATGCGTTTGTTTGGTAATTCAAGTTGTAGTAGGAACAAATGAACAGAATTTAGTGCCTTTATTTTAATTTTTTTTCTTTGAGTGCCTGGAGTCTAGATGACCATTAGTAATGTTGGTGGAGTCATCAGTGCTTCATTTCAGTTCCTTCTTTGTCTCTCCCTCTGCATTTTTACCAGAAAGATGTTATTTTCTCTTGAAGTCCTGCATCTGAGTTTTGTCAGCTGAAGTGCTTTTCCTCATTGCCATTGTCCATAACATATTTTAAAGTGCTGTGCAGAAATGAAGCTTACTTTAGAATGCCTGTTTGATGTCTTCCAAAAAAGCAGTACTTAAATGGTTTCTGATGGATAAGTAAAAGACAGAACAAGATAAAAAAGCAAATGGATGGAAATTAATGCGGAAAAAAGAGCATCACAGGGAACAGCATGGAGGATGGCACAGACCTGTAACTGCCATACTAACCTTTACAGCTTTCCATTTCCTCGATCATTTCTTCCCATCAGTAGTGAGAGATAACATTACAGGAACTTTGTTTTCAGATGTGTTCATGCTTAAGTAAGAATAATTACTATGTTAAGAGAGTCTGTGCAATTATAGGATAATAAAATAATTAGAAGGTTTCTAGAATCCAGTCCATTCTCCTGTAAGCAATGAAGTTAGGTCAGGTTTCTTAGGACTTTAACCACTCAGGTCTTTAAAACCTCTGAGGATGGAGGCTCCACAACCTCTGGGGATAACCTGTTCAAATGCCAGGTTAGTATCCTGGTATAATATTTTGTCAGGCCAGTTAGTTACAGTCTAGAAAAAGTAGACAAAAGTCTTCAGAATTTGTTGGCCTGTTGTCGTGACACAGTGATGAAATCTAAGACCTAATGCTGAAGATATATTCATTTGTCCCAAAAATTTATGTTCATGGTACTATTGATGCATATAACTCTGTGTGAAATTATAGCATGCATTATACAACTGGATGTGGTCTCCAGTTTTTAAAAGGGAATGAAGTTAGCTGATTTATTAAACCTAACAATTCTGATGTATTTTCAGATGCACATCAATTTGACAACCGTGCTTGAATTTTCCCGCCAGCTGACAGCCTACACAAGAGGTGCTTCCCACTTCGTGGATAAAATGGATGTAATATATTTGGCTTATATAATGGAAAAGTTAATTGTCTTCGTGGATGAATTTGAAGATGTAAGATATCTTCTCTATGCTGAAAAAAAGTATCACTTAGAAGTGAAGTCTTCACATATGGCCCTGTTCTTAATGTATGCAGGCACACACTGAAGAGTGGCTTCTAAAATTGATGGCTGGTATTCTGATTGCAAATGTTCTGTGTATACTGTGATATGTTTCTTTATGCTGAAAAGGACAGCTAAGCCATTTCATCTGACTGACAAAGACATTGCTACTTAGGAATAAAAATTGGATTTCAATAAGCCGTGTCTTTAATTTTCTTTTTAAATTTAATTTCTACCATGTCTAACTTATTAGAATGAAATCAAGGTGCCTCTCCATCTGGCCACTGGAGTTACACATGCTTCTTTGGTTTTCTCCATTTCACTGGGAGGTTTTCAATGAGTTTTGAAAGCATGTATCACTTCATGTGAATTGAAGAAAATGTTTAAGTGCAACTTCCTACAGAAAATTTTAGCATGATGTATGGCATTTTTACAGGGAAATCTAATCAGAGTATTATGCGAACCCTATGGGAAAAATAGGTTTTTACAGAGAACAGCAACATTCATCATAGCTTTTACTGTTAATTTTCAGAGTAACTGCTTGCATAAAGATTTCATAACCTGTAATTTTTGTACACATGATAGCTATAGTTAAAACATTTGTTTCTTTTGGTTTGACAATATTCATTTCATTCTGACTCTGGGGATTGTAACAGTTAACATTTTAGTGCCAATTTGAGAAAGTCTCCAACTTCAATTTCATCATTATATGCCAGACCTAAAGCGTATTATTAAGTGTTCTGCAAGAATTGTGTTTCAAAGCTACAACTGTGTTTAGGCTCAGAATCCTGATAAGATCTCATCCAAAAGAAACATTTAGATTTACCATAAAGCCTCTTTATTCTTCTAGCAGCTGATGCATTATCCATTAAAACTGAGCACTATCTTTAACCTTTTAATTGATTTCTTCCACCTTTCAAATAGGTTACAGTTTCTGGTTTTTGGTATTGAAACATCTCCATCTCCACCCGTTATCTCTATATCTCTTACTTAATAATCCCTTATTGTTTTCATAATTTAGAACATTTCTCCTAATTTGTCTTTGTTTCCTTCTTCTATTTTGAACTTTACACTTTTTCCTCACTCTCAAGTTTGCTAAATAAGTTCTTCATTCATTGGGCTCTTTAGTAATACCCATTTCTCAACTCTCACTCATAAGGTACAAAAATACATGTAGAGTTAAAGTGTCAGTGGTTTCATGCATGAGGGTGCACACATGTAATTATAAATAAGATTGAACTTCATTTAATACAAGGAAACATATGAACAAAGGTATATTCGTTTGGAATTGACTAGCAGCTGAAACTACAGTTCTATAAAACCATTACAAATTAATGAAAATACATGGACAGAGGTTTTAGATGATTTACCAAAATAAGTTTCAAACCATTTTAGCTAAACTAGTACAGTTTCTGTACTTCCTCTCTGGGGAGTACCTCTCCCAGTCAGCACAGGATTATTCATTTTTATACAAGTTAGTGGTACTTTGTCCCATCTGGTGGTTCACATCTAAAACAAGAGAGCTTCAACAGCTGCACTGGGGACATATTTGCGATGTACTACAACTTTTTGTCAGGAAGATGTACATGTATTAGCCCAAATTTTTGTATTGTTTAATGCCATGCCTTTAGTCTTCATTAATGCATTTAATTATAATATAAATTACTTCCTCTTCTTATTTCTCTCCTTTTGTATATTTATAGACTATTGTTCTTCCCTCAGTAAGTTACTGCTTAGCTGATTGGTGTGTTTTAATCGTTTCTCATAAATCACTCCAGTCTCTTAATGTGTTTTATTATTATTCATTTTATCAATAACTCTGTCACATTGTCAAAAGCCATCTAGAATTATCTAGTAATTATATTCTCAAAAATAGATTAAATATTTCAGGAACAGTCACATAAAATTTCACATGTAGTCTCATTATTTCTGTGTCCCTTGCAATGCATGTGAAATTTATGTATTTTTTATTGAAAACACAGAACTAACTTCATAACCTCAGTCATTCCTTAAACATTTTTCACCATTGCTGAGTTTTCTTTTCTCCTTCCCACTGAATTATTGGTATATTTGTCTTGTTTTCCTGTTTCTATTAGTTTTACCTTTTAGCCTCTTGAACTTTTCTTTAGCTGTATTTCCCTCAGTCATTTTTTCTCTTCTATATACCTTTTTATTCAGGTTTATTTGTGACAAACTTGCATATCTTTGGCATATCTTTGCCTTCAAAAATAATGGTAATACTAATTTTGAAATCTTCCTCAAGTTTTGGAGTTTTAAAAATTAAATATTTTCATTTCAATTTGAAATAATCACCAAAAAATAGTCAGTGATGTTTATTCTTCCTAAATATAGTATATTAATTAAAATTTGAAAGACATAGTCATACTTACCAAAATCTGCAAAATGTCATCTGGTAAACAAAGATTTATCACTTTGAGTTAGCCATAAGAGTGAATTAAAACATCCAAAGCTATAAGCTCACGCTATCTGTACAGCCAATGAGATGAAATAGGTTTGTGTCAGCCATCTGAGTTATATCTCAAATTTACCCCACTATGTCTGTAACAAAAATACCTTTCAAATATATTTTCTCTTTTAATTTTTTTTTCCCCTGGAAGTCCTGTGATTAAACACAAAGTAGTTCTTTAGAGGGACATGGTCAATTTTTATTAGTTTAAGAAAGAGGGTGAGAATTCTGGGATTCCATTTATCACCCAATGAAAGACTCAATTTTTGTGGTGTATCTTGAAGATAAGCTTTGAAATTGTGAATAAAGAAACTTTTCCTTGAAGTCACTTGCGTTTTTCTTTTCTTGGTCTTTCTTTTTCAGTCCATTTAATTTTCTTAATAGAATCAAAACTGTCTTTGAGTGATGGTTACCAAGAGAAATAAGGTGCCTGCTTTCAGTTGCACTCTTTTGTACTCTTTTCCTGCTTTTATGAGTTTTCCAGACAATATAATTTTTGGGTTTTTGTTTATTTTTTTTCTCTTACAGGTTGGGGATGCTCTCATTGAAATTGCCAGCAATATAATGTTGGTCGATGACCATGTGTTGTGGATGGCTCAAAAGGAAGACAAAGCCTGCACCAGGATTGTACGATGTGTGGAACACATTGCAAATCAAATACTGACCAGCAATATTCAAGTTATATCAAAGGTATTAAATAAAATTAAAAAGCTTTTTGTCAGGATTTATTTTAAAAATGTCATTTTTCTTCACAATTTTTACAACCAACTAGTATATAGAGAAGTGAGATTGTGTAAGTCAGATACACAGCATAGATGATTTACATAGATATATGTGGATTCTGTGATTTTTTTTTTTTCTTCTCCTGGATTCTATTTGAAAGACCAAAATAATTCTTTGAGTATCACTGATGGTATTTAAAAAGTGTTTTTTCTTGACTTTGATTCATTGTATTTATTCTTACAATAAACTGTTCACACTTGCTAGTGTTCTTACTATTCACTCAGTTTCTATTGTTCCTGCCAGTATAGTATATGGGTTTATTTTGAAAGGTCCAAGTTCAGTGAGTGAAATTTTTAGTAAGAGAAAAGACAATATCTTCCTTTGTTGCTTGAAGATTTTAATATGCCTTTCAGAGAGGATTCTAGACAATACTTGCTTAAAGCATTTAGAAAATGATCAAAAAAGGTGTATCTTGTCATAAGGATTACTAATTTGTGAGTAGTTTTAGTTTTTTAGAAGCTAACTGTAGCAGTATGAATAATTGTTCTTATTCCTTGGCTTCCACCTATGTGAATTTGCCACTTAGATACTGAGGAGTTGTTATATGGACATTGAGAAACTCTCTTTTTGCCAGTTTCAACATCTAGATATCAGAAATGCAACTAAATCAGAAGCTTGAAACTTAGAATTTTAGATAAATATTTTAAAGCCTTATCGCTCCTTAGGTTGGTTTGCTTGCTTGCTTGATTTTAAACAGCCTTTATTATTTTCGCTATTGTCCACTGCATTAAATGAACACACTATTAAAAGTGAGTTCAGTGTTAGTTTCAATTACAGCAATAAGATATAAAAGTACAAAAAAAAAAAAAGGTCTTATAGACTGAGCTGAAGTATAGGCTGAGCCAAAGACCATAATGGCCTTAGTTCCTTCACTGTCTATTTTTAGAAATCAGTCTTTCAAACAAAGACAAAAATATATGATAGGACAAGGGGCAATGGATTCAAACTGAAAGAGGGGAGTTTTCGATTAAATATAAGGAAGAAATTTTTTACATTGAGGATGGTGAGGCACTGGAGCAGGTTGCCCAGAGAAGTTGTGGATGCCCCATCCCTGGAAGTGTTCAAGGCCAGGTTAGATGAGGCTTTGGGCAACCTGGTGTAGTGGAGGATTTCTCTGCCCATGGCAGGGGGTTTGGAACTAGATCATCTTTAAGGTCCCTTCCAACCCGAACCATTCTATGATGCTATGATTCTATATTGAACTGTTTTCTAAAAGAAGTTTTTATTTAATTCCCATTTGCATAAAAGAATACATTTTGCTTAAAATATTAATTTATTTATATTAAATACATAGAGACAATAATGTGCCTTTTAGAAGTATTTTGCAATGTGACACCTAGAGGGGCTCTGTTGCTTTATACTTAAATTTATTTTAAATGTCAAGTGCCAAAGGTAATTTCTTTTCACTGTTTTCAGTAAGCTGTTGACGTTACTGTAAACAGTAATTCTGTGTACTCAAATGTAGATCTGTGCCACTAACCTTTTTGCCATGCTTTATCTTTTGGCTTCTTATAGTATTCTTTAGGAGAATTAGTTTACTGGTGAGTGCAATTTGTAAATAAACAAAGCTGTGGAGTTTTTCTGGTGTCATCTTGTGCAATACCAAACACTTCTGTTTTTTTGGGAGGCCAGCCAGCAAACTGTCTTGCAAATTTCATCTGCTTACTTTATTTTAAACAACAGCAAATAAAACCCCCAAAGCTTAGGTAGCTGCTAGCTTATAATACAATTCCTGAAAAAGAGGAACCTCTGTAGACTGTGTCAGTCATATAACATACACGTGACTGTTCCCTATATATTGAAAAGCTACTTGGGAGCCATAGCTGTTACTCTACATTATGCTACCGTGGAGCTCCAGTGAGGTCTTCAGCTGACCCTGTGCTGGAGGGAAGGGGACAGGAGCCGTCACAGAGGCACTGGGTGCAGCCAGAGAGGGGGTGCCCTCAGCAACAGAGTGCTCCTGGGAGGGATCTGTACTCCTCAGCAACCCCACATTTATCTCCCTTCAGTATTGTCCTGAGGTGCTTCTTCCTTTATTTTATTTTATTGCTGTTAGATGTGCAGTTTGAAAAGGAAAACTTCCTGTTGACAATAACACTTATCTCAATAGTCCTGACTCAGGTACATGCAATAGTTGTCAAACCCTCCCCTGGAGAGTTTTCACTCCATTTTCCAGCTAGTGAGACCATCAGAATATTTTAGGCTAATTGCAACGTGGCTTTTTGTTTGTGCTCTCAATCTTTGCAGCCTTTGGCGCTGCGTTCAGCTTACGCAGGTAACGATCCCCTTTGGCCCTTCTGCCGAGTGCTGCCTTCAACTGAGGTTTAGGAAATGGACACCAAATTATCATTTTCTGTATCTGTACTGCTTAGAGACAAAATTAGCTTGTGGCTTTTCATAACACGTACCTGACTGTGGCTTGTTTCCATGGATAATTTTGCTCAGAGTTCATCTGCGTCCATTTTGTAGCTCATTTTACAATCCTACATAATAAACACTGTTTTACCTTGTATTTTACCCATCTGTTTCTATAGGCTGAGAATGGCGTGTTCACACTATTTCAACATTGTCAAGCCTTTACAGGCATATTTTAGGAGTGGAAAACCCCAAATGTTTAAAGAATTTAAATTTAAAAATAGGGCTCACTGTTGTGAAATCACTTGAATCCTCATTACAACATTACCTAGCAATCATCTTAATCACCATCATCTCACAAATGTGAAATAAGGAACTAATATTATGCCATTTTACAGCAGGAAACATGAAGTTAATAATAATTAAATGGCTTTTCTCAAGATTTAAGAAAACCTGTTACCGCACAGGAGTTTTAACTGAGCCATGTAGCTGGATTCCCATGATATGGATAATAGTATTCTCTAAGCAGTAAATTTTTTAACTCCTTGAAAGGCTATTTGCGGATCGTACAAAAAATTGTACAGGTAAACCTAGTTTCAGGTTTTAGGACTTTTCAATAAACAGCCACTGGATTTTTCATAAAAAACTTATTTGATTCTTCATGATCTTTGGCATTTTTATTCAAGTGTAGAAAAGAGTCACCTTCAGGCAAGGATAGAAGAGGTGGAAATTTAATTTTAAAAAGGGACATTTTAGGAATTTAGAAATAACTGAAAAGAATCTTTAGGCTACTTTTACTTTAAAAGTAATACAAATATATTACTTTTATATAAAAGGTATAAAAAATATACTGAAAGCTTCTGGATTTTGTCTAATTTCAACAAAAAATAAAATATATTATTTAACGAGACTTCACTACTTTCATTTTGGACATAAGCAGAATCATCAGTTACTGAAGAAGATGCATTCTAAAATCTATTCACAAGTTCAAAAGAGGACCAGCAAGCCATGCACTGTGTCTCATGCTAAGATTTAATTTGTTCTGATACCATGACTTTTCCACAGTTAGGCTACCCTCTATCCTGTCTTTATTTTTTTATGCAAAACATTTTCTTTAGATTCATTTATTAGTGTGAATTAATGTGATTTTCTTCAGTGAAGTTATTTCTTGTCAGCACAACTCATATGATGCCTCAAATTCTGAAATATTCACACCAGTTGTTACTAGGTGGATTTAAGGTACTTCTGTACTGCTAGCTTGTATAACAAAAGTAAAGTACAGTAATATAAAACTGCCACATTTGTACATTTATTCTTCTGATAAACCTGCTAGTTTGTGGCTTAACTCAGGTGTCTTTATGTTGCAATCAATGTGCAAAATACACACACTCACAGATCTCTCAAAAAATCTGTGCCTGGATGCAGATATCATCTAGTCCAATCAGTGTGGTGCCAGTCTAAGCTAGTCAACCTGATTATAACAAAAGCTATTTATCTCATTCACGGGACTGTGCTGAAATAAATATACTGCTTTAAGGATAGTGGTGCATATCTCTACACTGTGCTATGATCTCCATCTAGACACATGACCTCATTAAAGGATAGGCCAAAGACTATAACATAGTGTTGCATTGAAGCATATAGTCATGTTCAATATTCTATGATCTGTAAAAAAACAGTCCATCACCAGATAGCTCAGCATCTTTCTGTTTCATTTCTGAGGTACAAAGCGTATCCTTGTTCATTTTTAAAAAATTCCTACTATTGATGTTGCGAATTCACTTTATGACTGTATTGCTTTAAATCAAGATTTGTTCTGTTGAAGCTGATAATGACACAATTGCAAAAATGATACAATAATAACTGATATAACTGATATAAAGTGATATATTCCTAAAGAAGATTCAAACAAACACACTATGTTATTGTGGAATTCTTAATCAGTTTTCTTAATAAGTTCAGTTTTCTTTCTTACCCTACGAATTATATATGGAAGTGTGTGTCTGCGCAGTCCTTTACAAAGTATATACAGTAAATACACAATGCATGTATAATAATATAATTATGCCTAATGAGTTAGCAACATATCTGCTTCTCAATGATTTCACAGGTATCTCGTAATATTGCTCTGGAGGCCTTTATGATCAAGCCATCTAGTTTCACAGGAATGACTTGCACTGCCTTCCAAAAAATATCTGCAAATTCTGACAAGTCAGTGGTGCCTGATTTGGGAAGCTGGGAAGCAAATTACCATCCTGATCAACATTTGAATTTCAAGTGCAACACTGGCAATTTGAATAGTTCCTTGGTGAATTCTTCTACCAGAGTAAGTCAGTACAATCGTGAATATAACATCCATTTCAGTGTATTTTCAATAGTATCTTTAAGCAGAATACCGATTTGGAAAATGTTTATGCATTGTAAACTGGTTAATAATTTCAGCGTGTAAGTGGTCTTAAACTGGTGTAGCATATTTTGTTGTGCTGACAGATATTCCATTAATATAAACATTTGGATTGTAGGATGTGAATACAAATGAGTAAATGTCTTGTTGTTTCTTTCTCTGGGTCCAGATTTGCAATTTTTTCTATGTGTAGGCAATCTTTTTAAAGTAATTTGGAAATATTTGTTTTAGTGAGATGCTTTCAAGGGATTTTACACTGAAAAAATGTGATTTTTAGGAAAATTACCTTTACTTCCACAAAAAACTATTATATTTTCTATCTTCTGAACTTTATACAGAGGGAGAGTGTTATGTTTGAGTTTTTGAGTAGTAGCCAAAGAAAAACAATAATAAATAAGCCTTTTAATAGAATGCACTGTTATTATCAAATAATGAAGTGGAACAATTAAATTTTGATCTAGCAGGAAATGGAATTTTGCATTTGGCTGAGCATGTTATTAAATTTAAGTATTGCAGAGTTGAATTTTTGTTATCCTTCAGTTGAATCTCAGTTTAATAGGCTTATTTCTTGAAGTACTTACTATGAAAAAATGATACTTTTCTGGAGAATATTACTAGTTTGTTGAACTTTGAAAGTATTTTGATAGAAGTTGCTTTCTCTTTGGTGCATTTTAATCTTCTGTACAGACTGTGCAGTCAGTGATACGGTAGTTTATGCTCTCAGGATCTTCTGGTAAAAAGAAGTCATCTTAATAATGGAGGAATATGTTAAATTTGTTTCCTGCAATGGAATTAATTTCTTCTGTGGACATTGTTAACATGTCTATGTTTAGGAAAGAGAAAGTTGTCTCTGAAAAGAGAAGAGTTTGACATCCATAAGATGAAAACCATGACTTTAGGTTTTAGCAGTAAAGTGTACTCAGGTTTTAAATGTGATATGTGAATAAACAGATTGAATATATTCCTTTAACTTAATCCTGAAAAGCAGGATGTTTTCATTCATTGTTGTTCTCTGAAACCTTTAGGCTAAGCACTACTTATTTCATTCTGAAATTAGATGCATTTCTTTATTGTTTAATAGAGTGACCTATAGAGTTGTAGCTGATAACAGAAAATGGGATTCTTTATCATCATCTACTAGCAAAATTATTTCTATGTTTGCTCAGTGGAGGCAAACGTTAAATCTACTTAATTGTGCTATTTAAAGTTCAGGAAAGTAGAGAATTTGTGATGGAGGTGGGAGTTCCTTGTTGTAGTTACCAATGTTTAGTCACTATATTTTAAAGTAATACTCATTATTATGTCTCTTTAGAACTTCATCTTAAATGCTGAGGATATTCTTAGAGTCTTCCTCTATTTAACATAGAATTAATCATAAAGAAAAAAAAATCTAATTAAAATCACTAAGTACAAATAGTAATTAGAAATTTAATTTACTTGTAATAAAAATGTGAAAAGTTGTCCTTTAGAAGCTTATTAAAATAGAATGTTTATATGATTTTGTATACAAAAATGTAGCCCTCTTCAAATGTATAATATTGTAAATCATCTGCTCACTAAGCATAAACAATTGTTTATGCCATTTGTCTGTTGCTAACAAATTGCACTAATAAATTAAAAAAATGAATACTCATGAAGTAATTTGTGGGCAGTTGATGGAAGAAGACTGAAATAGCTGATCACGAACTATCTTAATAATACAATCAAAACTTTTGTAGTTTACCCCTAGTGATATTTCTTGGCAATGGTATAATATTGATACAAATTTAGTCAGTGATTGTCTGTACATAATTTAACTTGATCTGGTTATTATGGGGTAGAGAGCCCTCAAAAGGGGAAGAAATATTAAAAATTTAAATAAATAAGTAAAAAAAACCCAGCTGAATAAACTTTGAAAATGAAATAATTCAAAAGGCACTGAAAGAGATCAACCGTATCTCCTGAAGTTCAGGAGATAACTGTTAAAATATACCTATATCCACTTCTAGTTCAAATATGTGGTATATCTTTTGTAGACTAACTTGCAGTGTTTCCAAATACCCTAAAGCAAAATAATATTGCAGTTCGATACAGAAATTTTTATCTTTAAATCTATTTTTGACTCTGTAGCCAGTAACCAACCTGAAAAGTTGAAAAGAATAATTTTTCACTATTGCAAATGAAAAGTTTCTTCTGGTAGGATTTAGACCCAGATGACTTCTCTTAGATCCTATTTCTGCTGTTAGTAGGGAGCCTTTCCTGCCTGACTGGACTGTACTGGGTGGAAAAAAATGGCTTTGATATATCTTCCTAGTTTTTGATACAGCGGCTTGTATTTTGACACAATGGTTCTTTTCATCTCTGTTTAAATAGGCTTAAGGGCATCTTCCCAGACTGGGACTCCAGACTGAGATGCTGTCACAGGAATGCTCTCAAGGCACAGTTCTGTCCCATGACCTGGCTGTGGTCTAAAGATATCACGATAGTGACACACCAGCAAGGCTGCTGTAACATTTGAATTTGGACAATGTGAGAATACCTTATGAAATTTTAGTGCCATTCATTATGAATCCAGTGTCTGGTTCCCACTTGATATCAGACCTGAAGCATATTTCGAACCTAATCTCTGTTCCAACCTGATCCTGTGAACTATCTCCAGTGTGCAAAGATAATCAGTTATACAGTTAACCCTTCCTCTGACTCACTAAAATTACTTCAACATAAAATTAATTTGTAAACCTCCTGTACTATCATAATCAAATATGTAGTTTATACAGGGGACTGTAGATTCAGTATTCATGCTTGGACTTTAAGGAAAGTATTTTATTAACATAATTTATGGTTTCAGCTTATTGAAAACACTTGTTAAGTAAAAAGGCTTTTCCTCTCTTTAATTATGCTTCTGATACACAAATGAATTAGCAAGTTAAGTTTCAAAATTTCTATATTTTCACATGTAATCCCTGACTTCTGAAATTTGAATTCCTTATAATATTCTCCATGCATTCCATTTAACTTTTCATTTCTATCTATTTCTTATATGCTCTGAGCCAGACTGACCTTTTGATTTGTCAGGTTGTATTACAGGTGATGTCTGTGCAATAACATGTTAAAAGCTAAATTGGAACTATGTTTGGTACTAGACATGCTAACCATGAAAAAAAATTCTGAAGTGCTTTGACAAAATCCTATGATTACTTGCTTATACCACTTTGAGATATTATACAATTTTAGAAATATTCTTGTCTAAGATACTTACTGGAAGATATACAATCAGTATATAAGAAAAGGTTTTCTTTTGCATAGAATAGATTTTGAATGCCAGACCATACAAATAATGTATAAATAATAGTAAATTCCTATGTAAATTTAACAGGAGTGCAGAAAAGAACTTTATGCAAAGATTTCCACCAACAAATGACAAAGCATTTGAGGTAGGATAAAGCACAGAATTAAAAACCCAGAGAGGAGTTGTGAAGGGGAAAGTTTGGAGGTGCAGAAAAATAGATCCTATAATGAAAGTGCCTTTCCTGCAATCCACTATATGTGAAATGTTCAGGATCTCTGTAGATAATTAATTATATCCATTTGGAAGCTGCTTAGTAGAAGGTGCAATAATAACTTTCTCATTCATGCAAGAACTAATTCTAGTGTAAATAATAATTTACACTGGAAGTGTCAAAGCCAGAGTGTAAGATGTGCAGTTACCCAGCTACAGGTTCCAAAATGGTTTCCTACAGTACTTCTGCAAAAACAATTGGTTTTGACCAAGATTTGATCAATACTTTGTCCTCTTTCAGTGAAAAAAATAAAGGAACAGCATCTGAAAACTTGTCTTCTAGCTCTTTATAGCTCTCATACATTTTCATTAACAGGAACCTTCCTCTTGCACTGGCAATTTGTAATGGTATGTATACGCTAATCACCTATGAACCTGGTTATGGAAAGTACTTTCATTTAACCATGTGCTTATTGTTACTAACTTCATTTAGTTGTGTATCCATTTGATAAATTTTTCCATGCTTATAGTGCATGGGTACAGAATTTTTCAAGGCAATAAGATTAGCTGAGGAAATTTAGAATTCGAAGTAATGTATAGAATTTGTGAACTCAATGAAAATCTAATACAACAGGAAGATACTTCCTGCAAGTTGCACCAAAGACGGCTACTTTTGATGCTGAGATTTTAATGTTTATTCTATTTTACCTGCCCCATCCCTGTATATTTATTCTACATGTTTTTTTATCTTTAAAATATAGTTTTAAATTTTATCCTATAGTTGTTTGTATTTTGATTTAGAATCTACCCAGATGTATGGTATCTATTTATTCAATATTCTGAAGAACCACATTCATTATATTTTTTGCATTTAAAAAGAAATTTTTTATATTCTTCATTCTTAGATGTAATATCTAGGAGGTATAAAAAGTAGCTGTTGGTATCTCTCTTACTACAGCCATTGAATCCTTGTTTTAAAATAAAATTTAAACTAAGTAAAAGCATTTAGTACTAAGAAAAGATCTGAGAAGAATTTCTTATTTTGAGTTACAGCAATATGATATATAAACTAATATTTTCTGTACAGGCATTAATTTGCTTGCAGGTGTGTTTAGATTGTACACTGAGTACTAGCTATGGAAAAAGCTGAAATGTCTATCATTCAGTTGATTAGATGGGTTTAATTTCAAAATCAAAACCAGACAAGACAAACTGCCCCTCTCTTTTTTCTTCCAGAATACTCTAATCACACATTTGTATATTATACCTCTTACTACTATTCCTTCTCAAACCAATGTGTTTATGTATTTATGCCTTCTATGAAACCATCAACATTTTTAGTTTGGTATTCTATGTTCAATATACCTTCTTTTCTCTGCACACACTACCATAGTCTTCATTTGGAAGACTTTCATAGTCATCATGTGGATGGCTATCTTGCTCT